TGAGAGTGCACCTCACATTGTTCTATGGGAGTCAGGGAATCTATTGAGCCTTGGGCAGCAGATCAGTACCCATCCCAAGTATACACACGGCCTTTGGACTCTGCACTGTATTCTTAAAATGTCTGAGAGAGCAGACATTCCATCAAACAAACATCTTTACAGTAACACAAACAGTGCAAAACGGTTGAGTTGTGGACTCTTTTGCTTGAGAATGAGTGTGGTGTGTTCCCTGTTTTCGTGCGGATGCTAAAGAGAGATTGTGTTGTCTGTTTAATAAAAGTGTAGCATCCTGTTTTCATTAGCAGTGATGACTGACATGGATTTGGTTGTGATCCTGTGTGATCCTGGGAGCAGAAGCCATTGTTTAAACAATGCTGTGCTAACAAAAGGACACTGTTCATGTGGCTGCCACTGACTCTGTGCACATTTCTCATTTAGATTCAAAGTGCTCAACAGGGGAATGTGACAGGAGCTAGTATGCATAGGTTTTGTTGAATCAATGAAAGAGATGTTGTTTTGCCTCTGAAAAGTTATATTTTTTACAGGATACATTGGCACATTAGAGGAAGATGGGGGTTAGTTTATTAACATTGAATCTGCTTTTGAGTGCTTGTCATTGTATGCTTTATTTATAGCCAAAACACTTGTTTCTAAAACTTCTCTGACACAGCAAAAGTGTTCTGAAAGGAATCTTCAAGATGGTTTTAAAAACAACCCGGATGATTACTTAGCGTGCACGGAAAGAGCCATCAGAGGATCTGGATGCTAACTCCAGTTTCTCTTGGCTGAAAAATGAAAAACAGATATAAAGAAAGTGAAGACAACTTTGATCTGAGAGAGGAGTAAGTTCTCTTAGTGTTAGGTAGGGAGACCGTCCTGGGCTCAGGAACGCACAAGGAGAAAGAGAAGAAAGGAAAGGCTGGTGAGATTTCAGTGAGGATGAGGAATGGAGAAGCAGGTGAGGAGAGCTGAGAGGTTGATGTGTCACTTTTGTCTGGTGGAGATTTAAATCACAGCCTCCTCTCTGTTGGAACCACCCCCTCCTCCCATTCTTTCCACAACTAATATCAGCTGCCCTGTGGAGTTCAATGAACTTGAAGTTTTATGTGGGAGTCTTGAGTCTGGGGTTTCAGTCCGATGTCTGTTCATAATTACCACGACAGTCCCCATAATTTTCATCCATATCCTATGAATTTTCTTTCCTATTTCCACAATAACGAAGCTGTACCTCAGCCTACATGGCCCCATTCTATCCCAGTGCGTCTTTATTTATTTATATTTATTTACTGGAAAGTGTATCATTCCCAGGAGAAGCATAGGTTCCTAGGGATCTGGGTCCAAGCAGCTTCCAGTGGTGACTGCAGCATCTCAAACAACTTCACTTCTCCAGAGGACAGCATGCTTTTCTTGTTCTTTGTTCAGTCTTGGTGCTTCATGCAGTGAGTGAACACATAGTAGATGTTCATTAAGTATTTATTGCACTGCAAGGTAGTAAAGAGAACTACAGTCATATGTAAACACTCAGTGACTACTAGGACTTGGAACTTTGGAAAATGTTTTAGATGTCATATAAACTTAGATCCATTCTGGATGTTTTTCACAGGATTTTCATAAATTAGTGCTCTGGATATTGCTGAGAAATCATACAAATATGTTGAAAAAGATTTTCTAGAATAAATGTGAAATTAAAATATTTTGGTGGTGACAAAAAATAGCCTGCTTTCAAGACACAAAATAGGTTGACAAGGCTAGTACTGTTGAATGGAACTCAAGTCACCTTTCTGCAGTGTATATAAATTCTCATACCTACATGTACCTTTACAGATAGGGACATATTCATCCATACATAATGTAGGTCATAAATAGCCACATATTGATCTCTGTTTAGGTGTCTGTTTTTTTCTTAAACCCTACGTTTTTACAGCCCAAAGTTGTTGTTTTTACTTAGGTTGCTTTCTTAATTAAAAATTTGTGTCTCCAAGGTTTCTGTGAATCAACAGTGCCCCAGAAATTGTTTTTCTTCTTGAGATTCCAGGGAAGTCTTGGAATGCAAAGACTTCAAGAAGGAAGCCTGGTCCAGCAGCCTTCATGGGCTCAGTGAGGTTTAGAATAAACATAACAGATATATTCATGTTCTTAAAGGCAGCAACCTTCAAGTGAGTTCAAAGGGCATCACTTGGGTCTCATTTGCTTTGCTAAAGAATTGAAAGGATTTATTTTAACCACATTGTCATTAGCTTAAGGTCAGAGCCTAACAAGACTGATATGGCCAAAGACCAAGTACAGTTTTGCACTGGCTTTTTCAACAAAATTCAAATTAACCAAATCTCCTATGGCATTATTGTTAAGGTCAGTCAGAATAAAAAAACCTTTCTAGATAATTTTATAATATTTAAGTTGTTCCTTTTCAAGTGGTGTGTGTGTGTGTGTGTGTGTGCAGTGAATATCTATGCATGGATTTGTGTTAAACACAAGTATGTGTGTAAGTGCATGTGTACACATACAGGTGTGCGTATCATGAGAGCCAGAAATCAATACTGAATGTCTTCCTCTAGAGTGCTCCACCTTCGTTTTATAATGGAGTGTCCTCACTGAACTTGTCAGTTGTTCACTTGGATAGAGTGTCAGGTTGGCACACTGTGGTCATCCTGATGTCTGGATCCTCCCAGAGTCGGATTAAAGGCAGGTGCACAGAAACCCAGGTTTTACTGAGAGTTCTAACTGAGGTCCTCAAGTTTAGGAGTCAGGCATGTGACCCACTGAACCATCTCCACAGCCGAGTGGGAAAGTTTTATATCAGCTTGACACAGGCTAGGGTCATTTGGGAAGAGGGAACCTCAACTGAGAAAATGTCCCAGGAGATTGACTGAGGGTCTAGCCTGTGGTGCATTTTCCATGCTGGCAAGCAATCCTGGGTTGTATAGGAAAGTAGGATGAGCGAGCCGTGAGGTGCAAAGCAGTTAACACCATACCTGTGTGGCCTTTGCATCTGCTCCTGCATCCAGGTTGCTGCCATGAGTTCCCGCCCTGACTTCCATTAGAGATGAACTGTGATACAGAACTGTGAGCTAAAAGAAAACCTTTCCCCACTAATTTTCCTTTGGTCCTGGTATCTTATTCCAGCATAGAAACCCCGAGTAAGACACCCCAGCCCTCTGTGGCCCTTCTGCAGCCAGGGTCTGGGTTGATGTCGTGGCCCCTGACCATCAAAGGCCATGCCGATACCAGGGGTCTGAGACACCACCTGGCGCCATGTTGGTGTCTGAGAGCCACTCTGTCGTGGTGGCCATGCTGATCAGAGTTGCCTGTGCTGCCACCTGGGGTCATGGTGACTTCTGAGTCTAGGCTGCTGCCAGGAACCATGTCTGGGTGTGTGGTCCTACCGTAGTCAGGGTCTGTGATGTTCATGGCCTATGGTGCAACCAAAGGCTATATAGATGCCTGTGGTATGGATATCCACTTGAGACTATGTTTTTGTCAGAGGTCCTTGTGGTTGCTGAGGCCATAGTGATGTCCAGTCCTGAATGGCTGCTGAGGGCATGTCTGGTCTGTGTTGCTGCGGAAGCTGGGGTTTATGATGATGCCCATGGCCTGCATTACCACAGGAGTTAATAAGGAACGATTCCTGTTGAAATCCAAGGACCCTGCTGAGCCGACCTGCACCTCACTGACCCTGAGACAGTTGTCCCTGCCCATGTCTGGACACTGCAGCAGGAGAGCTGGTCCCACACCCCCAAAAGAGAGCTGCTTTCCCACACTTGGGAGAGATGTCCCCACCCTTCACCATGGGCATGGGAGAGCTGGCTCTGCCTCTTACCCGAGGGGAGTGGTTTCAAGGGCCAGGACCAGCCAGCTCAGCTACCACCTAGACCCACATTCTGGGCTTTGGGTTGGCCTTACCCTAACATCTACCCATCTATGACCTGCTGGAGTGCATGAAGGGACTGGTCCCGTGCAACAATAAAGGCAGGTTACCCATGACTCAGGCAGCAGCGGGACATTGGAGATAAGTTTCAGTGAGGGCCCCACGATGATGGTGTGCCAGGGGCCTTGAACAAGACCCATGTCTCATTAGAATTAATGAACATTGTCTCGAGCGGCAATGAAGCCACCTCCTTCAGCCAAGCCCCTCCTCTCTTTCCCCTTTTCAGGTGGTGATGAAGGCAGGGGAGAGGTGGCAGGCTGACCCAACCCTGCGACTACCCAGGTCCATAACAAGGGTCACGTGGTGGCCCATCCCAATATCCGCCCAGTCTGTGATCTGCTGGAGCATGAGGGAGGTGGGTTGGGGGCGTGTCAGTCCTGCGGATCCAAGGCTGCAGGATCTCAAGGACACAGGGCAGCAATGGATGTCCAGGAAGCGTCTCAGAGGGGGGGGCATCATCATTGGTGCAGCAGAGGCCAGAGGCCTCGAGCCAGACCAGTGATTAAATACACGGACAGAGGGTTTTACTGCAGGACTCACTGTGTCACCCTGCAGCTTCCATGATGAGATTTCTACATTCTTCCCCCCGTCCTTTTTCTCTTATATTTTATCTTGGGATGGGGAGGGAGGAGGATGGGGTCAGGAGGCATGCTGTGAAAGGCACAAAGAATAAATAAAAATTAAAAGCAAAATAAAACAAAAATTAAAACCCCCAAAAAATGAGCATTTTGTGGGTCGAGCTGATTGGACAGAAGAGTACACGACGTGACACGCCACAGCTCCTGATGTCACTAGGATGAATGAAGAGGTGTCGGAAAGATGAATCGAGGCCTTTTTAAAATTAATTTTTTTGGGGCACACTTCAGGGTTAAGGGGCAGATATGGAGTGACTGGAAGGTGTGTGGGATTGGGTTACATGATGCGAAATTCCCAAAGAATCAATAAAGAATTATGTTTAAAATATTAAAAATATTTTTAAAAAGATGCAGCCCAGTCCTGAGAGTTTTTTTTAAATGACTTGTTACTATTCAGTAAATAATATAATTAACAACTGTCTGTTTTCTTGCAAAGACAGCAGTAAGACATTTAAAGCACAGACATCTGGAAACAACCAGAAGAACATGGCAGAACCTGAGAAAAGGTCTGCAACTCATGGGGTGAGATGCTTCTCCAAGATCAAGGTATGAACTGCTTGCATGTGTTTGCATGTGTGCATGTATATATACATGGGAGTCTTTTAAGCAAGCGTTGAAAGTCCTTGTAACATTTCTCAGCTTACAAGAAATTTCCCAATACCAAAGCCATTTTTCCCAATGTGTTGTTAATTCCTTCCTTAAAGAAGTTGATTTTTATAATTAGGATGTCTAACCAGGGTAATTCATCTAGGAAACTTAATAAGAATTATTTAGAGCAGTGGTTCTCAATCTGTGTGTCACTGTGCCTTTAAGGGTCAAATGACACTTTCATGTGGGTAGTGTATCAGATATTCTGCATATCAGATATCTAAACTATGATTCATAACAATGGGAAAATTATAGTTATGAAGTAGTAAATGAAATAATTTTATGTTCGGGGTCAACAGAAGATGAGGAACTGTGTTAAAGTGTCACAGCCTTAGGAAGGTTGAGAGTCACTGATGTAGAGGTTCTTAAAGGAGGATGAAATTTTAAATGTTTTAGGTGTATATTGTACTGTGCTGGAACTTAGTCTGAGGTCAGGGGCTAATCCAGTGCTCAGCCCCAAGGGGTTCCCGACAAAAGGTCAGGGGGTCACAGTAGGAACCAGTTCTCCAACAGAAGTGCTCTGTAGATTAATATGCAAAGATGACTTTATGACCTAGTCAGACAAATATTTGCTTCAGGCTTTGGCAGTACTACAATCCTTGATTTGTAAGAAAATGTCCATTCTGTAAGCTTTTTTGGTGGTTTTCAGTGTTGTAGAGATGCTTGTCACTCTCAGTTCCAAAGGCATCTTTGCATCACAAGTGTGAACTTGTATTAACCCAGAACCTGAGCACTGGGCCCAGTCTCTGCAAATCCCTCACAGGTTCCTCTCTAAGTCAGCCTATTGCGAGGTCATTTACCTTAGTCACATGGAGAAGACTCCCTGCCTAAGTGTGAAAGAGGGGGAGGCCTCAGACTCAGCCCTGGAAAGTTTTTACCTGTAGTGGTGCATGAATTATGGAACCCAACCCTCCTCAACTTATCCTTCAGTTCTCACCTTATTCCGAGGAGCCCAGGTCCCCTGGCTCCTAACCTTTGCTGGGCGCACACTGAATGTGTCACTTTGGACGTTATGCAAATTGTTTATACGTCAGTGTATTTCATCTGAAAGGGTAATGGTACCCCTACTTTCTAAGATAAAAAAATCATTCTGAGACCTGTGTGTGTCTCTCTCTGTGTGTGTTTCTGTCTCTATATGTATGTGCATGTTTGTCTTTAAGGGCTATTCTAAACTACTGGTATGAAGGATTAGACCCAGATGTTTACACATACCATAAAACTCCTCTAATCCTGGTCTATAGTATAACTGGAGGCTTTCTTCCCCACACAGCCCTACAGCCATTTTTAAATAATATCTCAGAGACTTGGTATTAATTATAAATGGTTGGCTAACGGCTCAAGCTTATTACTAGCTAGCTCTTACATTAAAAAATGTTACCTCATTTTCTACATGTCTTACTTCCTCGAGGCTGGCTGGTGTCTCCTATACTATACCTCTTCCCCCACCTTTAAGATGTTTCAATTACTTTAAATTTTTGTTTCGTTTTGTGTGTATCGATGTTTTGCCCTCATGCACATTGTTCACCACTTGTGTACCTGGTATTCTTGGAGGCCAGAAGAAGGTGTTGGGTCCTCTGGAACTGGAGTTACAGGTGGTTTTGAACCATATGTGATAAACACAGACACTACTGTAAACACTACTTCTCGAAGTCTGCCTTTGATTACTGTCTTAGGATTTCTATTGCTGTGAAGAGACACCATGACCACTGCCACTCTTAGAAAGGAAAACACTAATTGGGACTGGCTTACAGGTTCAGAGGTTCAGTCCATTATCACCATGATGGGACAAAAGGGGGCAAAAGGGAGATATGGTTCTAAAGAGGGATCCAAGAGTTCTACATCCAGATGGGCAGGAAGAGAGTGACATTGGGTCTGACTGGAGCTTCTGAAACCTCAAAGCCCGTGCTCATCGATACACTTTCTCCAACAAGGCTACCTCTCCTGTTAGTGCCAGTATCTGGTGGTCAAGCATTTAAATCTATGAGTTTATGAGGGCCATTCCTATTCAAACCACCACAATCATTTTGGAGTTTGACAGCAGTAGATACTGGTGTGGAGGTTGTGGGGAAATGTTAAAACCATAAGTTTACAAGTCAAATTTAGAATTAATTGTTTAAAAATAATTAGACTTCCCTGACTTTAGAACTATCTAGAATGTTAGGGTGGCCAAATGGTCTACAGTTCCAGATTGGAGCTCTTGCTTCCTAAAGTTAGAAATGTAATCATTATGAAAAGTGTCCAGGACAAGGGAAAAGATGGCCTTAATGACCTTCAGTCATGCAGACGCTGATGACATTACCCAAGCACCAACCGTCAGTTCTAACCCAGTGGCTACACATACAGCCTTGGTTAAAACAAAAAACTAAACCAAAACTCATGAAACTTGGAAAATGACTGCTAGTAGAGGAAGAGAGAAAGAATATTTTAGTTAAATAAGATTATTAAACAAAAGAAAGAAAAATTTCTTAAGGGGATTAGGGAGTTATCTTGATCAGTATAGTACTTGCCTTGGAAGCATGAGGACCTGAGTTCAGTCCTCAGGCCTATGTAGAAACTAGGCATGGTGACACATAACTACACTCCCAATGTAGGGAGACAGAGTCAGGCAGATACTTGGTGCTTACCAGCAAGTCAGCCTTGCCTCCTTGGTGAATTCCAGGCAGGTGAGAGTTCCTGTTAAAAAAAAGTACAAATATTGAGGAATTATGCCTGTGGTTGTCTTCTGTCTCCCACGTACATATACATGAATTCATTCCACATGAACACGCTCACACTTACACAAAGAAAAAGGAAGAAAGAAAAGGGAGAAAAAGGAGAACTCCCTCAGGAAGAATGAAAAGATTGCTCTGAGAGAATTTGTTTCAAATTATGGAGTGCTGAGGAGAAGAGTCAGCAAGACTGACTTTATAAACACAGATCTTATGTAGCAGTAGACCTGGACCAGCATGAACACTTGTTTCTTTTACTTTCTGCCCAGAACTGAATAGTTTAAAGAAAGAGCACTGTGTTCACAATCTGCTTAGCTTTCTTCTTCATACATAAATCAAATAAATGACCTCTCCAAGCCTGATTTTCTTAATTTGATAGAATCTGCTCTTAAATATAGGACCTGAATTATAAAACTCATTTGAAAATTATCAAGTACCAATTACATCCCTTAAAGATATGTAGTGGGAAGAGGAAACATCTCTGCCAATGTCAGGTAGAGTTTGAAGACAAACTTCTATGAAATATGAGCTGTCTTGGCCCAGTTAAGTTCTGCTGCCCTTCTCAGCCCCAAAGAAACACACAGGCGCTATATCAATTATAAGGCTTTGGCCATTAGCTATGGCTTCTTATTGGCTGGCTCTGTCTAAATTATTAACCCATTTCTAATAATCTAAGTATTTCCATGTGCTTCTCTTACTGGAGAAAGGGTCCAGACCCGTTACTTCTCTTGTGTCCTACATGGTAACTCACTCTGCCTCTGTTTCCCAGAATCCTCCACCTCTTCTATTCCCACCTTTTTGCTTCCCTATTGGCCAACAGTGCTTCATTTGTTAACAAATAAGAGAAACATATTTACACAATGATATCTCCCATAACTTCTAGAGCTGGAATTACACTATCTTACATTATAGAGTACTATTGAGCTATACTGAACATTTCTCAGTTCTGTTTTTGCATATATATCTGTTCTGGTTTATCCAAATTAATTGATTTTGTGGCAGTAAATTTACTAGCAGTAAAAACTTTTCTAACACAGGATGATTTGCCTATTATTTCATATGAGACAGTACAGAAGTTCTGGAAGCTGGGATGATGACATTTGGCATCAACCAGCTACTAGAAGATAAGTTAAGGGAAACAGGAAGCTCCTTCACTACATCACTGAAAGTAATGAGGAGTCTTACTGGTACACAGCCACATTATAACCTGCACCTGAGAGACCCCAAAATGTTCGGCCCTGGGTTTATATGCCTTATGTAAGTACCACTTGAACTACCAAGATAAAAGGTTATCAGGCATATTGTCCTAGGAGGAAAAATAAAATAGGTTATGTTGCTGTGGCCATTTCCTCCAGTAGTGAGAATGTAGCTTGTCGCTCTTAAGAATGTAGACAAAGAGGACAAAGTGTTGGACTGGCCAAGGACATCCAGAGACCTGTCATTCCTACAGAGAGAACACTGTAGGCTTACTGTAGAAGCAATTCCGTGGTGTAATTCTGGGATTTATTCCCTCTCTTCCTTAAAGCTGACAGCATGTGCCCTGCAGATAACAGTATAATGCCGAAGACCCATCAATAGCTGTGTCGTACATAGAATAACTCCATGTCTTTCTGTAAGAATAAGATACACTGGTAAAAGAACAAATCTACACCCATCTTCAAAACTCGCCATTGCTAGCCGAGTTTCCAAGTTATGACATTATGATAGAGGAGAGATTACACTTTAACGTTTCTTCCATGTTCAAGGGCCATTCATGTTGGATACAATCCTCTACCTCTTGGTAGAGGCTGTTTTGTAAGGAGTCTTTTTCTCTGTCCCACCAGCCAGCTCCCAAATAATGTCACAGAGACTTCTTATTAATTGTGAAAACTTGGCCTATAGCTTAGGTTTGCTCTCTTTTTTTTTGCTTTACAGATAAACATTTTAATGTGGTTTCCATTATTCCTATCTCAGTGGGAAAATGGAGGCCTAGAAAGGCTAAGGACCTTTTCCAATCTTTCTCAGCTATTATGTTTTAGAGTCTAATTTAAAATTTTAATTTATTTTATGTATATGGGTGTTTTGTCTGAATTAATGTCTGTATATCACTTGCATGCCTAGTTCCTAAGGAGGCCAGAAGAGAGTACACCCAGGAACAGTAGTTAAGGAAGGTTGTAAACCTCCTTATGCTCTGGGTCTCAAATCTGGGTCCTCTTCAAGAACAGAAAATGCACTTAATTGCTAAGCCATTTCTCCAGCCCCTGGTGTCTAATTTTGAATCAATTTTACCTACAAGTCTTCTTTCTTACAGTCTGTATTAGCCAGTTCAAGGTTGTCACTATCAGTTACAACCTATAGCTATGAGAAGAATTAGTAATTTTTGATTAAAATACTTTTATATTTTATGAAATCATCCCCCCTCAGTATAGGACCCAGAAATGATGGGCAAATCCACCACTAAGATACATTTCTAGCCCTTAAAATTTTTTTGTTTTGTTGTGTTTTGAGATAGGGTCTCACTAAGTTGTCTAGGCTGGCACAGAGCTCATTATGTATCTCATTCAGGCCTTGAACTGAAACTCTTCCTACCTCAGCCTTGTAGATGGCTGATGTAAAAGATTGAACCATCTTTCTAGACCATGAACTCAGTTAAGTCAGGTGGACTTTGATGCAATCACAATGGAATAATGTATATTCCTCTCCAGCTTGTTTTCAAATTTAGTGAGTAACTAGCAGAATAGAGGTCATTTCTGCTTTTGGGTCCTTACGTTGGTTGAATTAAAGATGCCTAGGCTTGTTCTTAACTAGCTGTCACAGCTTAATTTAACATGTTTATATTAGTATATTCTATCACATGGTGTTATCTCTCTTCCATCTTGCACCTCCTAGTTCCTGAGTCTCCCAGCATCTCCTGAGCACCTATATTCTTCTCCTCTTTTTTTCTCTTCCCAGAAATCCCTCCTATACATTCTGCCTAGCTAATGACTGTTCAGTCTTTTATTATACCAATCACGTCAATACACCTTCACACACTATGCAAGTACCCCACAACCCTGTTTGCCAGTGGATTCCAGATATACATACGTGGCAAACAAAGTTCTCACTTTTTTCTTAATGTTTTCCTTCCTAGATGTTTTTGGTGGCATTAACATGGGCATTTGTATCCAAATCACTATCAGGAACTTATATGAATTCCATGCTCACACAAATAGAGAGACAGTTCGATATCCCCACATCTATAGTTGGATTTATCAATGGGAGCTTTGAGATTGGTGAGTTATCTTTACGGTTACATATTATATATTGACGTTCTCCCCTTACTTCCTGCATTTAGACTACTTGATCTGACCGAGTTACATGCTTACTGATGTGATTGAATAACCTGGTTTGTGTGTGAAGAATCCACTATGTACACATGCCAATTGTCACACCCAATTTTTGTCACATACCTTGACATGGTCCCCCCTTTTTTTCTGACACCAGACAGAAAATTCAGAGTGTTAATATCTAAATCCATCGTTTGATAACTGAAAGAGATATTAATGCCTTTTCATGGCATTTAGAAGGCTGCTGTGGGAGCTTGGAGGAACTGGTGAGCCTAAGGAGAGCAAATGCTTCTCTTGCCCTACTGTGTCTCTGACGTTGACAGCTCTCAGCTCCTAGTCACTAGACAGACAAGGATGTTTTCCTGAATTTGAGTTGTGTCAGGCACAATTCCTAAGAAGAGTGAATGAACTTTAGCCCTGATTTTGGGTGACAAACTTGGATATGAGAGTTCAAAGGGTGGAGGAGAGAAAGATGCTCTCTGTAAACCAAGTGACCTGGAAGTGCCTCTCATCTCTGGTTTACTCTTAGTTTTTGCTTCTTTCAAGGTGAAATAGCCTATAATGTATTTATTGAAAACAGCAAAGGAAACCCACATTGAGGATGCTCCATCCTGTCTCTCAGGATCAAGCTCCTTGGTGCCTACTCTGCTACCTGTGTCCTAGGCCTTCACAGTGCAGTCAGGATGAAGGTCTTACATGGACCTTATGCAGATTCTAGTGTGTTAGGTGCAGCAAGTGCAGCCCATTGGTTTTTTCCAAGGACTTATGGAACAGATTGTGCTGGGGAGGACAGTCCCCTGGAGGAGTAAGGTTTGCCAGGTGGAGAAATGGAAGGCAAATGTGAAGGTGAACCATCCATCCAATAGTTTAAGGTGGGATGAAGTCAGCCTAATGTTATGGGAAGGTAGAAGAATGCTTTTCCTTTCAAATGATAGAGATTTCAGACAAGATCCAGTGCATTTGATGGGGGTGGGACATACAGCCTTAGACTGAGAAGATTCACAGAGAGTTCAAACAGTGGGCATCCTGGGACATTACCTTCTGCATGATGATTTCAGTGACAGGGCCTTTGGAAACAAAGAGAGGCTGATACAAGGGTAATATAGAGGTGGGCTACACTCATTCAAGCAATATATATTCTACATAGATAGTAGACTAGAGAGCATTGGAATTGAAAGAAAAACAGAGTCTTCAAATCTCTTTCAAGTATTTGTGATCACTTAGAGATTTGCTAAATCATCAAAGAAGTGTGTTTGAGTTTTCTGATCTTTATGTATAATATCCATCATCAAACTAAATGTATAATATCCATCATCAAACTAAAAATATGTTGTTTGAGGAGAGCTTACTTATATATTTGCTTCTTTTGAATTCCTCTTTTTTTCTGTGCATGATACTTAATGAGTCTAGGGCCTCAAACACATCAGCCAATCATTCTAACCCTCTGTTCCCATCTCTTGTTTTTACTTTTTATTTTCAAATTTTCAGTAAGTTGCCCAGCCTGGTTGTGAACTCATTCTGTAGATAGGAAGACTTTAATCTTGTAGCCTTCCTCTATGACCCCCCCATGACTAGGGATGGCACATGTGTGCCACCAGCCACACTCATTCTTTCCTCTCTTGAGGATGTTTATTCAAGGATTCCCTGTCAGAATGGTGAGTTTATTTAAACCTCAGTGTTCTCCTAACCCACAGAAAGGAATGTTTCATTTGACTTTTTGACTCCTGCAATTTAGATCTAAGACACAGTTGGAGGGTTAGGACTCTTACCTTCTCTCTGTTTAACATAGAAGCAGAAGCATCCAGTTTGACCATGTTGATCAATAAGGGGGTTTTTGAATAGTAAGTTAAAAAATATAAATTCATTTGACTGTGCATAGAACAGACATGAGAGAGATTGGTGGTGATGTACAGGCTGACACCTGCTTTTCTATCCATTCCCAAGGGCTAATTAATCCAGAATAGATTCAGGAATATTCTCCAGTATGAAGGACAACCTTTAGAATATATATATATATATATATATATATATATATATATATTTGTGTGTGTGTTGCACAAACCTCCTAAGCACCCATCCCCGTATTCTTCAGGTGGTTGTTAAACAATGAACTCTAGAGTGCAAATGTTGGTTGGCTTTGATGTGATACTATTTCACTGAAACAAGCATTCTCATTTCCCCCTCCCAGGAAACCTATTGTTGATTATATTCGTGAGTTACTTTGGAACAAAACTGCACAGGCCTATCATGATTGGTGTTGGATGTGTGGTTATGGGCCTAGGGTGTTTCTTAATATCACTACCTCATTTCCTGATGGGTCGGTGAGTATCCTAGTCCTTGATGATATTTTAGCTTCAACTTTCCCCTACAGAAAACGAAGCTCAGACTTCCCTCTCTGGGAACAGCATTGCTCTCCCAAAGTACATAATGCTAATATGGAAGTTAGAAGACATGGTCTCCACTTTGCCAGTATGATTTGTGAGACTGGTGGCCTTGGGTCCATTTCAGGTCCCATCCAGTCCATAGTGAACTGGGAATTTAAGACACCGCTTTCATGAAATTGAGACACACGAACGGACTCTCTGAATCTGCCAACTCTGTGCTGAATCCTTCATCAGGGCTATTTAGACTCTCCAGTTACAAGGTGTCTACAGTGTGGCATAATCGTGAGTCAGCAAGGGATAGACCAATGTCAAGGCTGAGTTTATTTTCATGTTTACCAATGTATTGTAACACAGAAAATTGTAAAAGTGAAATCATGTTGAGTTGACTTTTACCCCCTTTCCTGCTTTCTGGGGACAGTTTTCAGTTCTTCTTTCTGCCAGTGTGTCTTGTTAGTTTTTAATACCTTAATAGTAAATGATATGCAAAATGATGTTTTCTATCATAGAATCTTAGTGTTCTATGTCATAGAACTCAATTTATCTAGACTTAATATCTAGCTCATTTCCCCCTATTTGATTGGCTTTCTTTGAGTCTCTCTCTTTCTTACAGGCCCCTCACTGGGTCAGGGGTTTCATTTTGTCCTGGCCGTGCCTCCCACTCTTGTCCGCTCTACTCCACCTCCCTCTGAACTACAACCTCAAGCCCAGCTCAGTGTCATTTCCTTGTAATTCTCCATCATTCTTTTCCTTATGAATTTGTTTAACTTCCTCCCCTCATTTTCCTTTCCCTCCAATCTCCCCTCTACTCTTTTTCATTATTTCTTCCTTCTGTCTTTCTTTTGTTTTTAAGATTTTTTAAAAATCAATTTGATGTGTGTCATTGTTTTACCTGGATGTCTATATGTGCACCATGTGTGCGTGTGGTGCCCACAGATAACAAAGGTGTGTTGGATCCCCTGGAACTGAAGTTAGAGATGGTTGTCAGCTACCTCGCAGGCACTGGAAATGTAAACTCAAGTCCCTTTCAAGAGTAACAAGTGCTCTTAACCATCGAGTCATATCTCCACACCCCCCTTTTCTTTTCTTTTTCAAGGGTCTTGCTATGTAATTCAGGCTTGCATAGAATTACTATGTAGCTCAGACTGGCCTCGAACTCTCTCTGATATTCCTGTTTCAGCCTTTTAAGTGTTGGTACTACAAGGATGAGCCGCCACCACCACCTCGGTTTGACTCTTTCTTGTTCTTCGCTCCTCCCTGGAGGAACATCCTACCCTCTGCTTCCCTCTTTAGTTCTCCATCTCTTCTTTCTGTAGACAAAAGAAACTTCCCTACAGCATTTGAAGACATTGCGTCAAAGTTTGTGTAGTTTGGAATTAGAATTAGTGTTCTAACTCCTGTGACTGGTTTCTCTTTTAGCTCCACAGCCTGACACTGATGATGACTGTTAAGTCCTTTGCCACCTCAGTCAGGTGTCTTTGCTCAGTAGATTTTGTCATCTTTTACCCTTGATGATATCTTCCTTCCTCTCCTCTTATTGAGCTGTTATTTGAGCACGGGCATCCTGGATTTCACTCTCATCTTGTCATCTTTCTAACTTCATGTCCTTGACTCTCTTAGGTGCTTCCTGGGAGATTTAGCCTTGTTATCTAGCTCTTGAATGGGCTTGTCACTTGTGTCATGATATTTCTAAATTCTTACTGTCAAGGACACCTCTCTACCTCAAATATCTCCTCTGAGGGGACATCTTGTTATTTTCTTGAGAAGTCAGTGTCTTTTCTCATGTGACTATCTTCATCTGACTGTTGTTTCTGGCCTCTTCAAGAATAGCTTTTGTTTGTCTTTGACTTATTGTAATAAAATGTCCCCCACAGATTGCCCTTGGTTATTTGTTCATATTTAAGAGAGAGTAACAATGGAAAACTAACTGGAAATTCTAATCAAGTGTAGACTTGGTTAATGGGTGTTTTTTGTCTTTTTCAGTAGGATGAGTCAACAGTTGATTGATCTGGATGGGTGCTGATTGATATGTTCTGGGTGGTGGTTGAGATGCACTGAGTGGTGATTGATCTGGACTGGGTGTTGATTGATCTGGACTGTGTAGTGACTGAGACAGACTAGCCATCTCAGTAATGTGTGTAAACTATGATCCTGGGCAGGAATTCTCTGTACTTGTTAAGGAGGTAGAAACTTGACTACCATCCAGAAAGGAAGGGAAAGATCATCTTTTATTGTGTGAAGTTTTAAAATATGATCCTCCTTCTTGTCTTCTCTGTCCTCAGTTTACAGTTCAGTTTCTCTCCTATCTGTGAGCATTTGCAGTTGGAGAGACTGAGGCAGAGTCTGAGTTTCTAGATATTCCTTCTATGCACTTCAAACTCACTAGGCACTGAACTGGGAGTCTGTTCATGAAATTTTCAATGGAGACCTGGATCGTATCCTGAGGCTCCCCGAAGCATAATAGCTATATATCCCTGGCCTTCCAATTCATCAGTCATTCACTTATCCAGTCCCAATCTCATGATTTGATTGAGCTAAAGTTGATCACACTTTCAATCTCTCATTTATGATTTTTTATTTTCATCTATGTTGTTTTTATATGTTGTTGTAGTGAAGTGTATGTGCTTTCATGTGAAGCCAGGCAACAACTCTCAGAAGTCAATTCCTTCTGCCTATCCTGTGAGACCTGGTGTGCAATCTAGGTTGTCAGGCTTAGAAAAAAGCATCAGCACACTGGGTACATCTGGTATCTTACAAGGGTTTTATTTTATTTTATTTTGAAACAGAATCTCATGTAGCTAAGTGTGGCTTCAAACTCACTCTGTAGTTAAAAGGATAGTCATGAGCTTCTGATCCTCTTGCTTCTATCTCCTGAGTACACCGTTTCTGGTTTTATTTTGTGCCCAGGATCAAGCCCAGGATTGGCGTATCCCAGGTGCCAATGTAAGAACTGAACAACACTACCGTATCTAGATTTCTTTATCTTTGAGGAAATGAGCTTTCTTCTTTTTGTTTTGAAACAATTTTCTTCCATTTTATTGTCAATTGGGGGAATACTTGGACCTTGAGTGGACAACTGAATTTTAAGAGGATAATAAACTAAATGAAAAATACTTCATCTTCTCAGTTGTTTTTGAAGGGAACTGAAAATTTGTGGATGTGATTTAAAATTATTTTTTACTTTCTGTTCTTTTCAAATCATTGTCAAGAAATATTTGACTGTTACTATGTTTTCCTACCTTCTGCCAATGGTGATTATTCTCTGAAACTGGCCTGTCCTCATGGGATTATGAATAGAGAGACTCAGGATCTTGTCCACACTTCACTGGCAACTTCTGTGGGGACATCCAGGCAGTTGTTCTAGGGAGAAGTGGTTCTAACTTCTGTGCTAGATTATGCAGCATAGAAAGTAGGATGTTGGCAAGTGTAGCTCCATACAAACACATAATTCCACAGCCTTGGTTTCCTATGGCCAGGACTCCTCTAAAAAACTTAGAAATAATAGATTGATAACTAACTAAATAAATGAAATACATGATACCTACAAAGGAGAGAAACTCAGCTGGACACATTCTCCTCTACTATTGCATTCTGTCATTTTCTTTGCAGGACAAGTTGATCTTTGGTAATTTGATCAGGTTAAATGACCAGAGTTTGTGAGCACTTTTAGTGCTATGACACTGCATTGTCAGGTGATAGAAACTGTCATTTTTTGTTATGACATATGAACCTTTTCTTCTGTTGGAGTTAATGAACTCATGGGAGAATGAGTGTTTGAATTCTCAGAAATGAAGGGTAGGCCACAGCTCGGAGAATCCAGAGAGGGTGTCTTGATTTGTTGTGTTGTTTTGTGTCCTCCAAAAACTTTTATCTTTCTCAATTGTACTTTAATGAGTCTCTTTCTTTTTGTTGGCATTGTTCTTTATCTCACCCCAATTACTTTTAGTAAACAGTCATTTAGAAATCATAGACAGAATTGGAGAGATGGTTCAGTGGCTAAAAATACTAGTTGCTCTTCTAGAGGTCCTGAGTTCAATCCACAGAAATCACGTGGTAACTCGCAACCATCTGTAATAGGATCTGATGCTTTCTTCTGTCATGCAGGTACAGATGCAGGACACTCATAATAAAAACATAAATGAACAATGTTGATGAATTAAATCACAGAGAGCTGACCTTAGAGAATCTGAAATCTATGTCCCCTACATGAAGAAACTTGAGAGATAACTATAAAGAAGGGGCCCATTTTTGGTGATTATCAAGTTCTTTTCACAATACGATTACTTACTTTTATTCATTTGAGTGGTTGTTTTAAATCTTTCCTTCTTTTCTTTTGAAGCAGTCTCTCATGAAGCCCAGGTTAGCCTCAGGGTTGCTGCACAGATAAGGATGGCCTTGAGCTTCTGTTTCTCTTCTCAGGTGCTAGGGTGGCAGGCACTGCTCACCACAGTTTATGCAGTTACAGAGTTTAAACCTAGTGCTACATGTCCAGCCTCTAATGATAAAGACCTTTCTTTTTCTCTTTCCTCCCTCCCTCCCTCCCTCCCTCCCTCCCTCCCTCCCTCCCTCCCTCCCTCCCTCCCTCCCTCCCTCCCTCCCTCCCTCCCTTTCATCCTTCCTTCTTTTTCTCCTCTCATTTTTATTTAAATTAGAAACAAATAGGTTTTACATGTCAATCCCAGTTCCCTCTTCCTCTCCTCCTCCTCTGTCCCCCAACAGCCACCTATCCCATCCCATTTCTGCTCTGCTCCCCAGGGAGGGTGAGGCCTTTCATGGGGGATCTTTAAACTCTGTCATATCATTTGGGGCGGGGTCTAGGCCCTCCCCTGTGTGTCTAGGCTGAGAGAGTATCCCTCTATGTGGAATGGACTCCCCAAATCCATTTGTGTAGTAGGGATAAATACTGATCCACTACCAGAGAGCCCACATGCTGCGCAGGC